CCACAGGGTTGTTGTGGTGGATGATTTTAACTTTCCCAATATTGACTGGGTCTTCCTCAGTGCCCAGGGCTTGGATGGGAGAGATATATGTTAGGAGTGTCCAGGATGTTTTTTTGAAACAATATGTAAATCATCCAAAAAACTGGAATAACTTCAGAAGCTGGAAATCAGAAACAAAAACAGAAATTGCTAGAAAAACTCAGCAGGTCTGGCAGCATCTGTGGAGAGAAATCAGAGTTAACATTTTGGACCCAGTGGCCCTTCTTCAGAACTTCAGTTAACTCTGATTTCTCTCCATAGATGCTACAAGACCTGCTGAGTTTTTCCAGCAATTCCTGTTTTTGTAAATAGTCCAACTAAGGAAGGGGCCATACTAGACCTGGTATTGGGGAATGATCCTGGTCGGGTGATCAAAATTTCAGTTTCAGGCATACATGAGGTTTAGGAAACTGAAGACAGACAGAGCCCTCAAAGAATAGAATGATAGTAGAAAAGAACTCAAAGAAGAAATTAGGAGGGCTAAAAGAGGTCATGAAATGTCTTTGGCAGACAGGATTATGGAGAATTTCAAGATATGTTGTACATATATAAAGATCAATAGGGTCGCTAGAGAAAGGGTAGGTCCATTCAAGGACAAAGGAGGGAATTTATGCATGAAGCCAGTGTAACTGGGTGAGGTCCTTCATGAATACTTTGTGTCGGTATTTACCAAGGAGAAGGACATTGTGGGTGGTGAGTCTCGGGAGGGGTATGTTGATATTTTGGGTCACATCGATTATAAAAAGAAGGAGGTATTAGGTGTTTGAAAAGCATTAAGGTTGACAAGTCCCTAGATATCTGAGGTGATCAGAATGCTGAGGGACTCACGTGAGGAAATTGCTGGGGCTTTCAATCCTCTTCAGTCACAGGTGAGATTCCAAAGGATTGGAGAGTAGTCAATGTTGTTCTTTTGTTTAAGAAGGGCAACAGGGATAATCCACGAAATTACGGGCTGGTAAACCTCACGTCAGTGGGTAGGGAAATGATTGGAGAAGATTCTTAGGGATAGGATTTACTCATATTTGGAAAAATATAGACTTATTAGTGATAGGCAACATAGCTTTGTGCAGAGAAGGGTGTGTCCCACAAACTTGATTGAGTTTTTTAAGGAAGTAACAAAGATGATTGAGGGCAGAATGGTAGATGTTGTCTATAGGGACTTTAGCAAAGCCTTTCACAAGGTCTCATGGCAGGCTGATACAAAAGGTGAAGGCACATGGGATCTGTGGTGAGCTGGTAAAATGGATACAGAACTGGTTTAGTCAGACAGTAGCAGTGGAAAGGTGTTTTTCTGACTGGAGATCTGTGGTCAGTAGTGTTCTGCAGAGATCAGTGCTGGGACCCCTGTTGTTTAAACATATATTTTATATTTTTTTTTAATTAGTAAGTTTGTGGATGACACAAAGATGGGGGTGTTGCGGATAGTGACAAGGATTGTCAGAGGATACAGCAGGATATAGATAGGCTAGACACTTGGGCAGAGAAATGGCAGATGGAGTTTAATGCGGACAACTGCGAGGTGATGCATATAAGAGTGAAGTATACAGTAAATGGAAGAACCCTTAGTAGCATCAACTTGCAGAGGGATCTAGGTGTACAGGTCTACAGTTCCCTTAATGTGGTAACACAAGTGGATAAGGTGGTCAAGAAGGCATATGGCATGCTTACCTTCATCGGTTGGGGCATAGAGTATAAAAATTGGCAAGTCATGTTGTAGCTGTATAGAACTTTAGCAAGGCCACATTTTGAATATTGTGTATAGTTCTGGTTGCCACACTACCAGAAGGCTGTGGAGGCTTTGGAGCGAGTACAGAAACTGTTTACCAAGATATTGTCTGGTTTGGAGTGTATTAGCTATGAGGAGAGATTGGATAAATTTCGTTTGTTTTCACTTGAAAGGATGAGGGATGACCAGTAGAACTTGATTGAGTTTTTTGAAAAGGTGACAAAGAAGATTGATAAAGGCAGAGCAGTAGACATTGTCTAAATGAACTTTAGCAAGGTGTATAATAAGGTTCCACATGGTAGGCTGATTAGTAAGTTTAGATCACATGGCATCCAGGGGGAGCTGGCCAATTGGATACAAAATTGGCTTGAAGGTAGAAGACAGAGGGTGGTGGTGGAGGGTTGCTTTTCAGACTGGAGGCCTGTGACCAGTGATGTGCCACAAGGGTCGGTGCTGGGTCCACTGCTTTTTTTCATTTATATAAATGATTTGGATGTGAATACAGGAGGTATGGTTAGTAAGTTTGCAGATAACACTAAAATTGGGCATGTTTTGGACAACGAAGAAGGTTTCCTCAGAGTACAACTTGATCTTGATCAGATGGACCAATGGGCCGACGAGTGGCAGATGGCGTTTAATTTAGATAAATGTGAGGTGTTGTATTTTGGTAAAGCAGACCAGGGCAGGACTTATACAGTAAATGTTAGGGCCCTGAGCAGTGTTGCCAAACAAATAAACCTAGAGGTGCAGGTGCATAGCTCCTTGAAAATGGAGTCACAAGTAGACAGGGTGACAAAGAAAGCATTTGATACGTTTGCCTTCATTGGCCATAACATTGAGTTGGGATGTCAGGAACAAAAACAGAAGTTGCTGGAAAAGCTCAGAGTTAACATTTCAGGTGTCATGTTGTGGCTGTACAGGACATTTGTGAAGCCACTTTTGGGATCCTGCATACAATTCTGGTCTCCCTGCTATTGAAAGGATGTTAAAGTTGAGAGGATGCAGAAAAGATTTACAAGGTTATTGCCAGGACTAGAGGGTTTGAGCTATAAGGAGAAGCTGAATAGGCTGGGACTATTTTCCCTGGAGCGTCAGAGGCTGAGAGGTGACCTTATAGAGGTTTATATGATCATGAGGGACATGGATAGGGTGAATAGCCAAGGTCTTTTCCCTGGGGTGGGGAACTCCAAAACTAGAGGGTATAAGTTTAAGGTGAGAGGTGAAAAGATTTAAAAGTGACCTAAGGGTAACTTTTTCAGACAGAGGGTGGTGCATTTTTGGAATGAGCTGCCAGAATAAGAGTTGGAGGCTGGTACAATTACAACATTTAAAAGACATCTGGACGGGTATATGAATAGGAAGGGTTAAAAGGATATGGACCAAATGTAGGCAAACATGACTGGTCAGAATGGATGTCTTGTCAACATGGACTAGTTGGACCAGGGGATATGTTTCCATATTATCTGACTCTGTGACTGTAAAATTATGAGAGGTGTGGATAGAATGGAAAGCTAGAGTCTTTTTCCCAGGGTAGAAATATCAATTGCAAGGGGGCATAGGTTTGAGGTAAAAGGGGGTAAGTTTAAAGGAGATGTGAGAGGCGAGTTTTTACACAGCCAGTGGTAAGTGCCTGGAATATGCTGCCAGTGGAGGTGGTGGAGTGGGACACAATTGCAAAGTTTAAGAAGCATCTTGACCAATATATGACTAGGCAGGGAATAGGAGAATGCGGACTGCATAGAGACAACAGATTTTTAGTTTAGAAAGGCATCATCTGTTGGCACAGTCTTGATGGGCCGAAGGGCCTTTTCCTGCGCTGTACTGTTCTTTGTTTTTTTCAGGAATGCAACTACAGCTTTAGCTGAGAAACCACTGCACATAATGAGCATTGTTGGAGAGCTTGCATAAGCAAATAGGATAAATTATCCTTTAATATTTGTGAAACCTTCAATTAAATATTGAATTAAACCTGTAAAATTGTAATTATTGTGCATTTCCTCATTTCACAGAGAATACAGACCAAAAAGCAACATAACTTTTCATGAGAATTATACTGTTTCATATCGTTCATATCGCCAGTTTCATTTTGATCCTGAACGCTCGGCTGGGAATGAGAGCGATCAGCTGGTCCTGCCTAACATGCTCGCTCTGGTAAGTTTCAGTTAAATTTCAGGGTGTGAAATCTCAGCAGCATCATATCCAATGGAGATGGTGATTAATGTTGCTACAACTTCACATTCACAAAAGGTTACATTTGATTGGATAAACGATGAGCATCATTAAAATATTAATATATTTAAAGCTGCTGAATAAATGCTTGAATGTTATTAAGGGTGTGGAGCTGATTGATTATAATGTTTCCAAGTGAGAGGGAATTATCTTAATGTGGAGAGCCTGGAGAAGCTGGGATTGTCCTCCTCAGAGCAGGAAAGTTCAGGGACATTTTACTCGAGTTGCCAAAATCTGAACAAAGGAACAAGTACAAACTGTTTGCCGCGGTGACGGTCAGTGAAGAGAATCAGTGAAAGAACCAGTGGGGGAGATTAGGAGGTTTTTCTTTTGTACAGTGAGTTGTTATGAACTGGAATGTGCTCTCATTTGGCAAAGAGAGGGAATGGCATAAATTGATATTTGAATATTAATCTATCACAAATGAAGATGATGCCAATTCTCATATTATAGGTATCTCACCTTCCTTTGTTGCATTATTAGCTAAGGTTTCTCACACTGCAGCTGTTCCCCTCAATCCCTTTGGGTTCACAGATTCCTGTTTCTGGGAGAATGGGTGTTAACTGGGTGCATTGAGGCTCCATTTCTGACACCAATGTCAGTGATATAAGTCCACCTCCTGATTCTTGTCCCTATGGGACCTATACAAATCCTGTGATTCTGTATTTCAAATGCGTTCACTTTTCCAACATAGTACTTAATTCTAGCATTTCCTTTAGAATCCAATGTCAGATGAATTGATGTCATTGACTGCAATTTATTTTAACATCAGGGTGCAGCAGTCTTGGCTGAGAAGCTCCCATCTTTGATGAAGTTCATGTTCAATAATGCCATGAAGAACTTTAATCAAACTGCATTCTTCAAGAAGACTGTAGAAGAGATAATGTGGGGATATGACGATGAACTTATTAACTTCCTCAAAAAGAATTTTTCCAACCTCCTTCCATTTAAGGACAAGTTTGGATTGTTCGCAGATGTGAGTATTATTCACAGGGACAGATATTAATAAAATGAGCAAAACAGAAACACAGGAATGATAAACCAAAGAGTGACCAGACTTCATTGTGTTCACTGTCACCCATCCTGCTGATCACATGATCTGGGAGTCTGGAAATTATTCACCAATCACAGTGATCAGTTTTGATCAATGAGCCTATAATGGACCTATTGTGCAGAGTGCAATCCTGTGCCCTGAGGTGAGTATGTAATCAGGGTGTGATTCAATAATTAATCAAACAGGAGGGTGCAGACTCCACTCTGTCAACAGCTTTCCCAGCCACCACCAAATGAGGCCTTTAAATTGATGCTGAATGGAGTGCCTGCTCCTTCCTGTGCTGCTGGTATTAAACCAGGCCCGGGAGAAGGAGTTCACCAGACTAACCCTGACACTGCCACGGGCTGCTGGTGGGGATGTGGGGATGTGGGGATGTGGGGATGTGGGGGCGGGGGCGCGGGCGCGGGCGCGGCCAGAGGAGTTAGTAAGACATGACCTGCCCCACACAAAGCCATGCTAACTGTACCAAATTAGGCCATGCTTTTCCAAATGTGCATAAATCCTATCCCTAAGAATCCTCTCCATTACCTTCCCAACCACTGATGTGAGACTGACCGATCGATAATTTCTTGGATTATCCCTATTTCTCATTTTGAACAGAGAAGCAACATTAGCTACTCACCAGTCCTCAGGCATCTCTCCAGTGGCTACCAAGGATACAAAGATCTTAGTCAAGGCCCAGTAATCTCCTCTCTTACCTCTCTCAATAACCCGGGGTAGATACCATCGGGCCCTGGGGACATAACCACCTTAATGCTCTTCAAGAGACCCAACACCACTTCTTTCTTAATCTCAAAATGCCCTAGCATATTAGCTTGCTCCACACAAATCTCACTATCCTCCATACCCTTCTCCTGGGTGAATAACGATGCAAGGTACTCATTCAGGATCTCACCCACATCCTCCTTCCTTTATCTTTGAGTGGTCCTACCTTCTCCCTAGTTATCCTCTTGCTTTTAATCTATCTACAGAATGCCTTGGGATTCTCTCTAACCCGTTTCGCCAAGGTCATTTCATGGCCCCCTTCTTGCTCTCCTAATTACCTGCTTGATTTCTCTCCTACTTTATTTATATTCCTAACAGGCCCTGTCTGATTTTAGACTTCTAAATCTTACATATACTTCCTTTCTCTTTTAGACTAAATTTAAAATCTCCCTTGTTATCCAAGGGTCCCATACCTTGCTATCCTTGTCCTTCCTCCTTACTGGAACATACTGGACCTGAACTCTGATCCGTAGGCATTTAAACAACTCCCATAGTTGATTGGCACCATATTCACAGAAAAACAAAGAGATCTTGATCAATTGGGTCAATGGGCTGAAGAATGGCAAATGGAATTCAGTTTAGATAAATGTGAGGTATTGCGTTTTTGTAAAACAAACGATGACAGGACTTATACAATTAAAAGTAGGGCCTTGGGCAGTGTTGTAGAACAGAGAGACATAAGGGTTCAGGTATATAATTCTTTGAAGTTTGCATCACATATAGATAGGGTGGTTAAGAAGGTATTTAGCGTGCTTGCCTTCATTGCTCAGATCTTTGAGTATAGGAGTTGGGACGTTACCTTGAGGATGCACAGGGCACTGGAGTACTGTGTACAGTTCTGGTCTCCTTGTTAAGGATATTATTAAGCTGGAGGCGGTTCAGATGAGATTTACTAGGATGACGCTGGGAATGGAGGGTTTGAGTTATAAGGAGAGGCTGGATAGGCTGGGACTTCTTTTACTGGAGAGTAGGAGGTTGAGAGATAACCTTAGAGAGGTTTATAAAATAATGAGGGATATAGATAAGGTTAATGGTAGGTTTCTTTTCCCTAGGGTGGGGGATTTCAAGATTAGTCAGCATATTTTTAAGGTGAGAGGAAAAATATTTTAAAAAGGTATGAGAGGCAATTTTTTTACATAGACAGCAGTTTGTGTGTAGAATGAACTTCAAGAGAAAGCGGTGAATGTGGGTATAGGTACAATATTTAAAAGACGTTTAAATAAGTGTATGAATAGGAAAGGTTTGGAGGAATATGGGCCAAGCGCAGGCAGGTGGGACTAGTTTAGTTTAGGATTATGGTCAGCATGGACTGGTTGGACCAAAGGCACTGTTTCTGTGCTGTATGACTGTCTCACTCTGTAACATCCTGTCCCCTCCACCACCAACGCTCAGCAGCATCAGTGTGTACTATCTACAAGGTGCACTGTAGAAATTCACCATAGATCCTCAGACAGCACCTTCCAAACCCATGACCACTTCCATCTAGAAGGACAAGGGCAGCAGATACATGGGAACACCAGCCCCTGCAAGTTCCCCTCCAAGCCTCTCACCATCCTGACTTGTTGTTCCTTCAGTGTTGCTGTGTCAAAATCCTGGAATTCCCTCCCTAAGGGTATTGTGGGTCAACCTACAATGCATGGACTGTAGCGGTTCAAGAAAGCAGCTCAGACCACCTTCTCAAGGGGCAACTAGGGACGGGGCAATAAATATTGATGAAGCAAGTGATACCTCCATCCCATGAATGATTTAGGAAAAAATGTCCCACAAGAACCTTAGATCCTTGTTGCTGCTTGTTGGGTTTATAATTTGTAATGCAGGTCAGATGACAATGATTCACAAAGGAAAAGAGTATTAATAGATTAATACAAGCTGTTTGTGTGTCGTTCACTGGATCTTGAAACATAATTGTTCAAGATCAAAATAATCAGTGAATTTTCCTTTTCCTTTGCACCCTGAAAGCTTGTGATCTCAAATAAACCTGTTGGACTATAACCTGGTGTCATGTGACTTCTGACTTCTTCCTTTGATGAAGAGAGAAGGACCCAGTGTGTGTGATTTAACGTATCCCTGACCCTATAGGAGGTCATCTTGAGACAGCTCCCAAAGACACAGATTGTGATCTTCAAGGTTCAAAGTGCTGGCCCCTGCTCCACAGGGCACTCTGAGTGAACCCTTTACCTGGCACAGTGCAGGACTAAAGCAGAGCACAGTTGAGGCTGCTTTCACATTATCAAATGAATATCGTCTTAATTCATGTCCAGCAAGACTCTGCAAAATAAATGGAGCTGAAAGTTTCTGCAGACAGGAGATGGTCTGTCAAAATGAACATTTCTGTCTAACTTCCTGTCATAATATGATTAGTTTGTCCTCTGCCAGTGAGGAGAATTTACACAATTCCTTCTGGGTGGCATGGTGGTTCAGTGGTTAGCACTGCTGCCTCACAGTGCCAGGGACCCAGGTTCATTTCTACCCTGAGGCAACCCGCTGTGGAGTTTGCACATTCTCTCTGTGTCTGCGTGGGTTTCCTTCGGGTGCTCCAGTTTCCTCCCACAGTCCAAAGATGTGCAGGTTAGGTGGATTGGCCGTGCTAAAGTGCCCGTAGTGTTCAGGGATGTGTAGATGAGGTGGGTTATGGGGGATGGGTCTGGGTGGGATGCTCTGAGGGTTGGTGTGGACTTGTTGGGCTGAAGGGCCTGTGTCCACACTGTAGGGATTCTATGATTTCATGTAAAACATAAATGATCTGACAACCTATTCTCTGATTTTGTTACAGTTGAACAACACAGACACTGGACTTTTCACAATTAATACAGGAGTTGATGACATTAATAAAGTCCATAAAATCAACACCTGGAATGGCCTTAAACAGGTACTGACACTTTCAGCAGCTCAGTGAGAGACCAGTATATTGTGGCGGAGGAACTAATAGGGCCACCCAGGATTTCTGTATTTCATCGTTGATGTGATATTATTGATCAAACACCCTTTGAAAACTTTGTTTATCATGAAATGACATTCTTTATAAACACCTTTCTCATATTCCAGGTAAATTTCTGGCACTCTGACCAGTGTAATATGTTGAATGGGACAGCAGGAGAAATGTGGCCTCCTTTCATGGATCCATCAGATACTTTAAAGTTTTATAGTCCTGATGCCTGTCGGTACGAGTCAAATTATCATCAACAAAGATTTGTAGAATGTGAAATTATTGTAAATAGAATAAATGTTTGATAAAAGTTGCAAGTTTATAATGTAAAGGGTGGGGGTCAGCTGGTGAAATAGGCAATGAAGAGATTCAGAAATTACTTATTTTAATTGAACTTATTTCCCGAAGCACAATGTTTAATGAAGGCATCATGGGATTAGTGTCTTGTGGCATTCATGTCAAATGCAGAATATGAAATATTTCACAGCAAGTTCAAAAAACACAAAAATACTGGATTGTGTAGAGTCAAATGAGAATGAAAAACTGAAAAAAATGAGAATTAGTAAAAGCATACTGGAGAAATTAATAGCTCAAAAAGCTGAGAAATTTCCAAAGGTGGTCACTCTTTGTATCTTAATTGACTTGTTCAGTCATTTTATTATGCACTATGAGGAGCAAATGGGACTTGAACCCAGGCCTCCTGGCAGAGAGACAGGGTCACTACCACTATACCACTGAGCTCCCAAGGTGGCAGCTATAAGAAGAGTGGATTCATTGGTTTCAATCTTCCAGAATTCCCTAGGTTCTAGGACAGCTCCAAAGGATTGGAAAATCAAAAATATAACCTAGTTATTTAAGGAAAGAAGGAGAAAGAAAACCTTGATCAATCAGACAGTTTTTTTCTGAAATCAGTGGGAAGGAAAATGTCAGAATTTATCATTAGGGAGATTTAGGACACATCAAATATCATAAATGATTGAGAACAGTCACCACAGAGCTATGAACGGAACTGTCTTTTCTGTGTGGGTCAGTATCTGAGAACAGAATGGTCTCTGCCAGCTTGTTGCTGCCTCTTAGAGACTACCTTCTGCCCCAGAGATCTGTCAATGCAGGACAGTGTGGTTAGATGAAATGTCTGCCACAGCCGAATAGCTGGCATGTAGTAACTGCAATGATGTGGGTATGAGTCTTCTGGCAATGTTGAGTATGTGAGGCTGAGGGTGAGGCAGTGAGTGCAGGTTTCAGTTGTGTTTGTTCGAGGTACATGAACAAAGGGGCAGTGGGCAGTGGAGCAATGATTGAGGGAGAGGATTTGGAATGTGAATTACTAACTTTGATGACCTGTGTGATGCTGTTACATTTCTTACAACATTGAGTCCAGGCCCATTGCACTGCAGTGCTGGCTTTGGTCACCATGATTACTGCTCCCACTGCCTTGAAGGGAGGGCCTCCTGGTCCCAAGATGAGGCAATCTCCCTCCAAGTATCACCCCCTTCATCAACAATTCAAACTCAGCATTCAAAACCCCGGGGGACTCTCTTGCCTGTTGCACTATTCTGTGTATTTTCTGTAGTTCTTCCCGTGTCAAAAGTGATTCTAATCTGGCGTAGTTGGAATGCAGTTCACTTTCCAATGATTCAGGCTGGCTTTAACATAATCTCAACAGTGTGTTTAACATTAGGCTGCACACTGCAACCCTGTCAATGATGGATTCGAGGTACATCATCATCACTGCAACCAATATCAGTGCTATCCAATAGTTGGGTTACATTTGTTTGTTGTAGGTGTCACTGGCTGGACTCTCTCTCCCTCATTGGCCCTGAGAAGATGGTAGTGAGGTGCCTGTAAACTCTGGTTCATTCTCCCAGATGCTGCCTGGTTGGGCTGCATTAGATATTCTGTGTATGTCATCAGAGAATGGTCACTTTGATGGCCTTAGGACCACAAGCTGTGAATGAGTGACATAGTCGATGTGTTCAATGACTATTACCTTTGAAAATGATCATTATTTCACTTTGCATTTATAAAGTTAGCAATGAACTGATTCTTAAATGGAATTACTTCTAAATTTGAACAGGTCGTTAGAGTTAGTTTACCAACGTTCAGATTTTACCTTTGGGCTGCCTTCCTTCCGATACATTGCCCCGAAGACTATGTTTGCAAATGGGACTGTATATCCCCCCAATGAAGGGTTTTGTCCGTGCAGAGAGTCCGGAGTGCTGAACGTTAGCACATGCAGAGACCGTGAGTATATCAATCTGCAGAACACATTGTTTAACTGTGAAAACAAATGACTACACAAATTGACTACACAGTAAGATTTCCTAAAAATAATCCTCATCCCAGGAATGATCAAGAACATAAGAACTAGGAGCAGGAGTAGGCCGTCCGGCCCTTCGAGCCTGCTCTGCCATTCAATAAGATCATGGCTGATCTTTTCGTGGACTCAGATCCACTTACCCGCGTTCTCACCGTATCCCTTAATTCCTTTATTGTTCAAAAAAAATCTACTTTATCTTTAAAAACGTTTACTGAAGTAGCTTCAACTACTCCACTGGGCAAGGAATTCCATAGATTAACAACCCTCAGGGTGAAGAAGTTCCTTCTCAATTCAGTCCTAAATCTGCTCCCTCTAATCTTGAGGCTATGCCCTCTTGTCCTAGCTTCACCTGCCAGTGGAAACTCATCTCTACTTCTATCTTATCTATTCCCTTCATAATTTTATATGTTTCTATAAGATCCCCCCTCAATCTTCTGAATTCCAATGAATATAATCCCAACCTACTCAGTCTCTCCTCATAAGCCAACCCCCTCAACTCCGGAATCAACCTAGTGAACCTCCTTTGCACCCCCTCCAGTGCCAGTACATCCTTTCTCAAGTAAGGAGACCAGAACTGCGCACAGTACTCCAGGTGTGGCCTCACCAGCACCTTGTACAGCTACAACATAACCTCTCTGCTTTTTATTTCAATCCCTTTAGCAATGAAGGACAAAATTCCATTTGCCTTCCTAATTACTTGTTGTACCTGCAGACCTACCTTCTGTGATTCATGCACAAGGACACCCAGGTCCCTCTGCATAGCAGCATGCTGCAACTTTTTACCATTTAAGTAATAATCCTTTTTACTATTACTCCTACCAAAATGTATGATTTCACATTTATTTACATTGTATTCCATCTGCCAGACCTTTGCCCACTCACACAATGTATCTATGTACCTCTGCAAAGTTTCACAGTCCTCTGCACACTTTGCTCTGCCACTCATCTTAGTGTCATCTGCAAACTTTGACACCCTACACGTGGTCCCCAACACCAAATCATCTATATAAATTGTAAATAATTGCGGTCCCAACACCGATCCCTGAGGCAGTAGCTTCAAGCGAAGCTTCTTTGAACTGATCCCAGTGTAATTGTATCCTTTTTCAAATATACACAGTATTGCAGCTATGGTCATGCCAATACTCTATTTTAACAAAGTGTACCTATCTATATATTCCATTCTGCTCACAATAAATGTTAACATTCCACTTGCCTTCTCAATCACTTACTGTCCCTGCGAACTACCTTTTATATGATTCATGTACCAGGACACCCAGATCCCACTGTATCCTCTGTACCTTCACGTTTTACAGTCTTTCTTCATTTGAAAAGTTTGAAACAAAAGGAACAAAAGACAAAGTTAAGAAGCAAAACTGGAAGGCAGGATAGCAAGGATGAAAAACAAATGATGCCATAGCGCAAAATAAAACTGAAGCGACTAATGTGGTTAAAAAGGTAGGCCTAAAGCCTTTGTATCTTAATGCTTAGAGCATTTGCAATAATTTAGATGAATTTGTAGTTTGAATTGATATAGTTATGGTATTATGCAATTACAGAGACCCGGCTGAAGGATAGGAACTGAACACACAGCAGTATTGATAGAACAAAGAGCAAAGAACAAAGAAAATTACAATGCAGGAACAGGCCCTTTGGCCCTCCAAGCCTGCACCATCATGCTGCCCATCACAACTAAACCCCCTGACCCTTCCAGGGACCATATCCTTCTATTCCCATCCTATTCATATATTTGTCAAGATGCCCTTTAAAAGTCACTATAGTATCTGCTTCCACTACCTCCACTGGCAGCAAGTTCCAGGCACCCACTACCCTCTGTGTAAAAAAACTTGCCTCATAAATCACCTTTAAACCTTGCCCCTCCCACCTTAAATCTATGTCCCCTAGTAACTGTCTCTTCCACCATTATTTAGAAAAGACAGACAAAAACGGAAAGGAGGTGGAGTAGCGTTTATAGTAAAGGAAATATATCAATGCAATAGTGAGAAAGAATATTGGCTCAGAAAATCATGAAGTGGATTCTGTATTGGTGGAGATAAGATACACCAAGGGGTAGAGAACATTGTTTGGGGTTGTCTATAGGCCCCCAAATATTAGTGGAAATACAAGCAAAAGGCATTAAACAAGAAATCTGAAAATGATGCAATAACAGTATAACTGTTATGATGGGTGACTTTAATTTACATGTAAATTGGAAGAACCAAACTTGCAATGGTATTGTGGAGCAGCATTTCCTGGAGTTTTTACGTGATGGTTATTTTAGACCTTTATCTTGAGAAACCAACCAGAGAACATGCAATTCGAGACTGGATAGTGTGCAATGAGAAAGGATTAATTAACAATCTTGTGTGGTGTCCCTTGGGAAAGAGTGACCATAATATGATAGAATTCTTAATTAAGATGGAGAGTGAAATATTGAAACTGAAACGAGGGCCCTGAATCTAAATAAAGGGAGCTACTGAGGTGTGAGGTGCAAATTGGCAAGGTGAACTGGGGAATCTTATTAAAGGGATTGGTGGTGGATGGGCAATAGTTCAGGTTTAAAGAATGTGTGCATGAATTACAACAATGATGCATTCCTGTCTGGTGCAAACATAGGAAGGGAAAGGTGGCTCAACCATGGCTTACATTAGAAATCCCAAATGATTTTAGATCAAAAGAGGATTGCCAGAAAAGAAAACAGTTCTGGGGATTAGGAGCATTTTGGAATTCAGCAAAAGAGAAAGAAAAAATTGATCAGGAGGGCTAAAAAACCTGCAGGAAACATAGAAACTGACTGTAAAAGCTTCTGTAAATATGTGAAGTGAAAAGATTAATACAGACAAATGTAGGCCCCTTACAGTCAGAAGCCGGGGAAATTATAATGGGGAGCCAAGAAATGGCAGAAGAATCGAAGACAGACTTTGGTTTTGTCATCACAAAAGAAGACACAGATAACCTTCCAGAAATGTTAGGGAACCAAGGGTCTAGTGAGTGGGTGGAATTGAAGAAAATCAGTTTTAGTTAGAGAATGATACCAAGAAAATTAATAGGATTAAAGGCTGACAGATCACCAGGGTCTGATAATCTACATTTCAGGATACTAAAGGAAGTAGCCCTGGAAATATTGGATACTTTGTGGCCATCTTCCAAAATTCTATCAACTCTGGATCAGTTCGTACAGACCGAGACCGGGGAAATGGAGGGAAAGGAAACAGAGAATTATAGAGCAATCAGCCTAACATCAATTGTGGGGAAATGCTAGAATCTGTTAGAACAAAACATTTGGATAGCATTAATGGGATTGGACAAAGCCAGCATAGGTTTATGAAAAGCAAATCATGCTTAAAAAGTCAACAGGAGATTTTTGGGGATGTAACTGGTTGAATAGATACAGGAGAACCAGCGGATACTAAGGACAAAGAACAGTACAGCACAGGAACAGGCCCTTTGACCCTCCAAGACTGCACCTACACACAATAATGTCTTTCTAAACTAAAAACCTTTTGCCTCTATGCAGTCAGTATCTCTCTATTCCCTGTCCATTCATGTATTTGTCAAGATAGCTCTTAGATGTTGCTATTGTATCCATTTCCACCACCACCTCACGTTCCAGGTATATACTACCCTCTGTGTTAAAAAAAAGTCTTGCCTCTCACATCTCCTTTAAACTTACCCCCATTTACCTTAAAACTATGTCCCCTAGTAATTGACATTGTTATCCTGGGAAGAAGACTGTGACTATCCATTCTATCTGTGTCTCTCATAATTTTGTAAACTTCTATCAAGTCACCCCTCAGCCTTTGAAGTTCAAGTGTAAACAAATCAAATGTGTCCAATCTCTCCTTATAGCTAATACCCTCCAAACCAGATAACATCTTGGTAAACAGTTTCTGTACCTTTTCCAAAGCCTCCACAGCTTTCTGGTAGTGTGACAACCAGAACTATACACAATATTCAAAATGTGGCCTTGCTAAAGTTCTATACAGCTGCAACATGACTTGCCAATTTTTATACTCTATGCCCCAACCGATGAAGGCAAGCATGCCATATGCCTTCTTGACCACCTTATCCACTTGTGTTACCACTTTCAGGGAACTGTGGACTTATACACCGAGAACTCCCTCAATGTTGAAACTACTAAAGGTTCTACCGTTTACTGTAGACTTTCTTCTTGCATTAGATCTCCCAAAATGCATCACTCACATTTGTTCAGATTAAACTCCATCTGCTATTTTTCCACCCAATTCTCTAGCCTATATCCTGCTGTATCCTCTGGCAGTTGTCCTCACTATCTGCAACTCCCACAATCTTTGTGTCATCCGCAAACTTACTAACCAGGCCACATACATATTTCTCCAATCATTTATACATATTACAAACAACAGAGGTTCCAGCACTGATCCCTGTGGAACACCACTGCTCACAGACCTCCAATCAGGAAAACACCCTTCCACTGCTACTCTGCCTTCTCTGGCTAAGCCAGTTCTGTATTCATCTTACCAGCTCATTGCAGATCCCATGAAACTTCACCTTTTGTGTCAATCTGTCATAAGGTTGTGAATTTGGATTTTCAGAAGGTTCATTATAAGAGGTTAGTGGATAAAAATAAAGCACATGGGAAAGGAGGTAAGAGATTAGCATAGATGGAGAATTGGTTGACAGACATGGAGCAGAGATTGAGAATAAATGGGTCTTTTTTCTGTGTGGGAGGCAGTGACACCCACTGCAAGGGGTACTGCTAAGATCAGTGATTAGGCCCCAGCTATTCACAATATATATCAATAGCCTGGATGAGGGAACCAAATGCAACATTTTCAAGTTTGCTGATGACACAGAAGTGGATGGGATTGTGAATTATGACAAGGCAAGGATGTTTCAAGGTGATTTAGACAAGTTGAGTGAGCAGGCAAACGCAGTACAAGATGCAGTGAAAAACTGAAAGGAACAGTATTATTTATATGGTGATATGTTGGGAACTGTGGATGTACAAAGGGATCTGGGTGTTCTTGTACACCAGTCAATGAAAGGAGACAGGAAGGTGCAGCAAGCATTTAGAAAGGCAAATGGTATGTTGGCCTTCATTGCAAGAGGATTTGAGTTCAGAAGTAGGAATATCATCATAGAATCATAGAATCCCTACAGTGTGGAGGCAGGCCATTTGGCCCATCAAGTCCACTTCAACTCTTTGAAGAACATCTCACCCAGACCTACCCCCTCTACCCTATCCCTGTATCCCTGAAATGTCTTCTGCACTTATACAGATTGTTGGTGAGTACTCCATGTCTGGAGTATTGCATGTAATTTTAGCCTCTCTACCTTAGAAAGGATATACTTGCCAATGAGGGAATGCAATGAAGGTTTACTCAGCTGATCCTGGGGGATGGTAGGGCTGACCTATGAAGAGGGATTGGTTCGACTGGGCCTGTATTCACTAGAGTTTAGAAATATGTGAGGAGATCAGATTGAAACATATAAAATACTAACTGGGTTAGAGCAACTAGATGCAGAGAGGATGTTTTCCCTGGTTGGAGACATAGCTTCAGATTATGGGGTAGACCATTCAGGGCTGGGATAAGGAAAAATTGAGGAAAGATTTTATCATTCAAAGGGGAGTAAACCTGTGGAATTCTCTACCACAAAAGAAAATGGAGGCCAAGTTACTGAATATAGTCAAGAAAGAAGTAGATAATGTTTTATATTTTAAAGGCATCAACGGATATGAGTAAAAAGTGGGAATATGACATTAAGATAGAAGGATCAGTTTTGATCATATTGAATGGAAGAGCAATCTCGAAGGGTCGAATGGCCTACTCCTGCTCCTTGTTTCTATGTTTCTAAGCTTCCTGTTGTAAACAGTGAGGAGGATAGCAACAGATTCCAGGAGGACATCCAGGCAAATACATGATAAATAAACCTTAAGGAAGGGAACTGTGAAGAAGAACAAAAAATAATATAAAATAAATGAGACCATTTAAAGGGATCTGCAAGAACATAGAAACCTTGCGGTGAATATACACAAACATCTGAAGAAGAATACTTTAAAAATGCGTGGGATCCTTGGCTTTGTAAGTAATGATATGTTAGATATAACTTTATATTTTACAGTTGTGTCTTAGATATTAGGTATATGTATGTTATATATTAGTCTATAAATAGAGGGACAGATTCTGAAAAGAAGGAAGTGAAGTTGAACCTTTGCAAACACAAGTTACTTTGGAAAGGGAGCAGAGAAGACCTGGCAGAATGGGACCAGGGATGAAGGTCTTCACTCACGAGAGATTGGAGAAGCTGGAATTGTTCTTCTTGGAGCAAAGAAGGTTATGAGGAACACTTGATACAGGTTCTTAAGAGGGCTTTAATGAAGTAAGAATAAACTGTTTCCATTGGAATAGAGTCAGTAACCAGAGGGGATGGATTTAAATTGATTGACAAAAGAAACTGAACAGTGAGGAGAATAGCAACAGACTCCAGGAGGACATACAGACAAACACACGAAAAATAAACTCTAATTTTGGGAATTCTGAAGAACAATGTGAATGAGAAAATAATCTACAATATTAAACTGGAAGGGGACCTCGATATATGTTCAAAGGGCAGGAAACTTTATGCATCGTTGGGAAAGAATGGGGATGTGGGCGAGTGAGTGTCTTTGATTTCAGAGTTGGCTGTGATGGAACAACTGGCCTTCTATGCTCTCTCATTCAATGATTTGATAATGATCTAATGATCATGTGAAATGTCAAACAAAAATGATGGTAGGAATAGATAAAAAGACCTGAGAGGAATGTGAAGATTAATACAAGCTTTTATAATGGCATTAAAAATACAAATGTTGTCAAAGGTAATAAAGACCATTTAGTTTATTTATTCATGGGATGCGGGTGTCACTGGCTGGGCAGCATTTATTATCCCATCCTGGGTACCCCTTGAGAAGGTGGGTGTGAGCTGCCTTCTTGAACCGCTGCAGTCCATGTGCTGTAGATTGAACCACAATGCCCCGCATTAGGGAGGAAATTCCAGGATTTTGACCAAGCAACAGCGAAGGAACGGTGATATATTTCCAAGTCAGGATGGCGAGTAGCTTGAAGAGGAACTTGTAGGGGGTAGTGTTCCCATGTATCTGCTGCCCCTTGTCCTTCTAGATCAAAGTGATCATGGGTTTGGAAGATGCTGCCTAATGATCTTTGGTGAATTTCTGCAGTGCATCTTGTAGATAGTACACACTGCTGCTACTGAGCGTCGGTGGGGGAGGGAGTGGATGTTTATGGATGTGATGCCAACCAAACGGGCTGCTTTGTCCTGGATGGTGTCAAGCTTCTCGAGTGTTGTCGGGGCTGCACTCATCCAGGCAAGTGGGGAGTATTCCATCACACTCCCGACTTGTGCCTTGTAGATGGTGGACAGGCTTTGGGGAATCAGGAGGTGATTACTCACCGCAGTATTCCTGCCCTTTGACCTGCTCTTGTATTTATGTGCTGGGTTCAGATGAGTTTCTGGTCAATGATAACCCCCAAGATATTCTTTGTGGGGAATTCAGTGATGGTAATGACATTGCATGTCCAGGGGAAATGGATCAATTCTCTCTCGTCATTGTCATTTTCTTGTATTTGTTGCTGGGTCAAAATCCTGCAACTCGCTCCCTAACAGCATTGTAGGTCTACTTCATCTCATGGGCTGCTGTGTTCAAGAACAGAAGAAATAGGAGGAGGCATAAACCATTCAGCCATTGTAGCCTGCCCCACCATTCAAAGGATCATGGCCGATCTGCCCGAGGCCACAGCTCCTCTTTATGCCAGCTCCTCGTAGCCCTCAACTCATTAATATTTCAAAGATCTATCTGCCTTCTCTTTGAATACTTTCAGTGTTCTAGCCTCCACAGTTCTCTGTGGCAGAGAATTCCAGATATTCATTGCCCTCTGGGAGAAGAAATTACTTTGCATTTCAGTTTAAATGAGTACCCCCTCACTTTAACTCTGTCCCCCAGTTTGAGAAACCCCCCACCATTGGGAATATCTGAACATCAACTCTGTAAAGCCTCTCAGAATCTGATAAGCTTCAATAATATCACTCTCCATTCTTCCATGAAGACAGCTGTCTACAAACTTCTCAAGAACCATTACGCCAGGCAATTAATACTTATCTTGGCAGATATATCAACTTCCCTTGAACAAATTAAAAGAAAGTCTTATCAGAAGGAATTGTTGCTGTTTGAATGCTTGTCTTACGTGTATGGTCACAATTCAGTTGTAAATTATAGTAGAGTTTTATTTTGGGCTGACTGTAAATTGTTCACCTTTAGATTCTCAAGTCTTTGTCTCAAATCCACACTTCTACAATGCTGATCCTGTGTTGTTGGAGGCTATTGAAGGATTACATCCCAATGAGAGAGATCATGCGCTTTTCATTGACATCCATCCTGTAAGTACAATCACAGAATTGTTACTATGCTGAAGGAGGTCTTTCGGCCCATCGTATATGCTCCAACTTTCTGAGCATTTTAACTTAATCTGAATCTCCTGCCTTTTCCCCAGTGACTCTGAAAATTTGAAGAGTCATCTAATACCCTCCACCAGACTCGCAGGTAATGCATTCCTGAGTCCCTGTGTGAATAAGTTCTTCAAAGACAGATCAACCAAGAAAACGAGAAAACTAACTCGACCTTCCTGCTCATTGGCATCTTGAGGCAATTAATGTGGTCCCAATGTATCCCCAGTGTGGAGTAACTGAGAATAGAGTCCCAATATGAGAGAGAATATTTTATATTTTCTCTTTTACTTACCTGTTTCAGAACAACTACTTCTTGGTTTCCCTAATCTTCCTTTGTCATGAAAGCTTCTTATCTCTGAAATTATCTTTACAGAATCTTCCAAATATTTACTTGGTCCTGAGTTTCTATCTGTAGTGAGGTGAGAAAGACTGGGACTAATATTCGAATGACAACTTCACAGCTGAGTTCATTTGCTGAACAATAATATTCTCCTTAATGTAAGAGTTCATTATTTTATTCTAAATTTAATGCTTTCTTGTTCTGAATCTTTTTAAAACTTTCTGTTTCTGTATGGCTCTTCATACTTTACTGTTTAAGATATATTTTCTGCCGATATCTCATCTCAAATCTCACCTCATGTTGCTACATTAAATTTGATCTCACACTGACTGACCTGCCCACTCTGCTAACAATATTCACCTGACAAGCCTGGAGATGTCCAATTCAGTTACTCACTCTCTTTACTTTTGTATCACCTGCAAATTTACAGATATCATTATTAGACCCAACTGCAGACCAATTCCATCATGAGGGGTCACAGTTAACGCCTTGCTCAGAAGGGCCTTGGGGATTGGGGCCACAAGTGGCTGCATCCTGCTGACATTGTCTACATTGGATTGAGTTGAAGTTCTGAACTGGAAATCCAGACAGACAGCTGTGTCTGGGAGGAGCCACTGATCCAGTGTTGTACACATCGATGGGCTCGTGGCCCACAGATCATTGGGGTGACTGTTCTATTGGTAATTAGATCCTAACAGATTTAAGCAACAAGATCCTTCCTAGTGCCCCCTGTGGTTGGGGAACTAATGTCCAAGATGTTGTTAATTTTCCTGACTGCCATTCAAATAACAATGTGTTTCTTTGGAGATGGACTGTATAATAAACCAATGCAACTGAATCATATTCAGGAACAAAAACAAAGTTGCTGGAGAAGTTCTGAGGAAGGGTCACCGGGCCCGTAACATTAACTCTGTTTTCTCCTTCACAGATGCTGCCAGACCTGCTGAGCTTTTCCAGCAACTTTGTTTTTGTTCCTGATTTACAGCATCTGCAGTTCTTTCGGTTTTTATCAAATCATATTCAGGTTTGGGAAATGAAAGGGAAGAATTAAAGCTCAAACCACTGGATCTAAATCAGATCAAGTTCGGCAGAGCAAAGAAACAGGCTAAAATTAGTGTCTAGCTTTTTTAATCCATTGCGTTGGTCTTTATGTTATTTTAAGCTTCATTATTTCTACTCGTTATTCTCTTAACGTGCCCCAAAATCACTTCTCTCTCCACTTTGTTTTCTGATTTTAATTTAGCACCAACCACCTGATATTTCCTCAGAAGGAACATCCTAACACCAACCTAGATCATGCCAGTTCATTTGAACACCTTCATTAATTCATGGGATGTGGGTGTCACTGTCTGGGTCAATATTTATTGCCCCATCCCTATTTGCCCTTGAGAAGGTGATGGTGAGCTGTCTTCTTGAACTGCTACAGTCCATGTGCTGTAGGTTCACCCAGAATGCCCTTAGGGAGGGAATTCCAGGATTTTGACCCAGTGACAGTGAAGGAACAGTAAT